TAAAAACCTAAGTTTTTGAGTGGGTCTACCTAGAGCATATAGAATTTTACTATGGCATGATGTAATTCTAAGACTCAGTACCTCTTCTGTTTTGGGGGGCTTTTTTACCCTGAGAAGTGTATTGTTTAGCTTAAATAGGATAGACAGACTAAATAAATGATTACTCACTATATTAAATACTTCAAATGAATTATTTTTCCTGTATCTGAAAACAAGAATGCTGACTTACCATCAAGAATCTGCACTATGTGAGGTGATGGATATGTTAATTATCTTAGTTGCAGTAATCATTTCACAACGTGTATACATACCTATACACACACATATGTATATATATATATTTACATGTATGTATCTAAAGATATACAATATGTATGTATTTATATATATAAACAACATGATGTACACCTTAAATATACATAATTTTGTCAATCATACTTCAATAAAGCCAGAGGGAAAAAAAGGAATTTGCACTGAGCTGCTCTCCCTCACCTGGGGACAAACTTGCACTTCTCAGGCCTGTCTTTGCACCGGGTCCCTTGTTATGTATCGTGAGGCAGTTGTCCAATTTCATGTGTATACTGTGCTGCCATAGAAGCTGATTTTGCATGAACCTGTCACACGTCGCCCAGGGGTGGTGTGGGTCAGGGACTGCTCAGATCAATGACCTTGGAAGGCCAACACCAATTTCTACCTCGTGTGTTTGTTAGGACACAGAAACGACTGCATAGCCACTTCTGACAACATGCCTCTGCTTTATTTGGCCATCCACGTTTCCAGCCCCCTGCCCCCCCAACAGCACTGCCTGCATCCACACCTTACGTGCGGAAGCACGCACGGCCGTCTTCACTCCTCCTCCTCCTTCAGCCTCCACCTGCCCGGGAAAAATGGACACACAGCGGGTGGACACTGTGGCCTGGGCCAGATAGTCTCAATCACTGCAGACACAAGGGCTGGTTGGGGCAAAAGGCCGCAGCAGGAGGGGAGGAGTGCAAGCAGGGAGAGGAGGCAGGTGGGAAGCGAGCATCGCATGGCTTAGGTTGTGGAGAACACTTGGAAAAGCTTTAATAGTCACTCTCACAAACTGGGAGTGGATGCAGGGCAGCGTGGGTGTTTTACAACGTCTAATTCCCAGTCCACTTGAGCCCTCACCTAACGTCACTGACTGACTGGAGTCCTGCATGGAGACAGCATTTAAGTTAAAAAGCGTATGGGATCACGGTGACGAGAAAGTAACGGTAACTAGTAATTAGTGATGGAAGGTGTTTCAGGGGTTCTGGAGGCAGTGGGCTTTGAGGGCAGTATGATTTTCAGGAAGGTTACATAACCTCTCCCAACATTATTTCCTAATATCATTGGCTAAACAGGAATGATAGTTTAGAGTATTTTGGTGAGAAACTAATATGCTGTATACAAGCACAATGCCCAGAGCCCAGCAAACACCCACAAATGACCACAATCACTATTAATATCAAACAACCGGAACCAAAACATAGGTAGGTATTTCGAAGGGATCTCATACATCTCTAACGGCTGTGCACCTCATTGTGGTATGCCCCCAAAAATGGCTCCCGAAGAAAGCCATACCTGAATCCCCAGCACCTGTGAATATGTTCCTTACAGGGTGAGGGAGGCTGCACCTGTGATTTCGTGAACAATTGTTACATGAGGAGATTAGCTGGGATTATCCAGGTGAGGCCCATGTAATCACCGGGATCCTTATAGGAAGGAGGGTCAATGTGGGTGGGCTCTAGAATCTCCAGAGGGCAAGGGAACATATTCTCTCCTCGAATTTCCAGAAGGAATGCAATCCCGCGGACCCTCTTTATACCTCTGGCCTCCAGAACTGTAAGATAATGTGTTGTTTTAAATCTCTACGTTTTTGATCATTTTTACAGCAGCAGTAGATAAAGATAAGAGTCTAGTTTTTACAACTGTCTGCCCTGGATGTTTAAAAAGAAAGAATAGTAGGGAGTGACATAAAGTGGAAAAGAAAAGTTTGGTTCAGAGACTTAGACATAAATGAAAATTTTCATTTTAAGGAAAATTATACAGTCCTTCATTTTCAAACTAAAAACAGAAGATCGTGTTAAAACTTTTTGGTAGCTGTGGTAGAGAGAGACAAGAACTGGAACAGGGTAGACAAATTTGTTTATTCCACAAACTCATACTGAGTGCTTACTATGTTAGGCACCATTTCCAAGTTTCTTTCCTTGTTTAAGAACCTCTGTGATAGGGCGCCTGGGTGGTTCAGTTGGTTAGGCGACTGCCTTCGGCTCAGGTCATGATCCTGGAGTCCCGGGATCGAGTCCCGCATCGGGCTCCCTGCTCCGCAGGGAGTCTGCTTCTCCCTCTGACCCTCCCCCCTCTCATGTGCTCTCTCTCATTCTCTCTCTCTCTCAAATAAATAAATAAAATCTTTAAAAAAAAAAAAAAAAGAACCTCTGTGATAATCCTCCGGACCTGCCACGCTGGAGTAGAACACTTCTAAGATACCTCTCAGCTCTAACGTCGCAGGCTAAACCACAGATGAGAAAACACGTCACTTAGTCATGAGTGATCCTCAAGAAGCTTAAATGCTGGTTCCGGGGGTAGGAACTTGCCTGCTGTTCGCATTGCCACCACTAGATGGCAGCGCTAGGCTACTGATGGCAAATATAAAGTCCTGCACTGAAATTGTTTACATTCACTGAGCTATGATACAGAATTTATTCTAAAAGCATGTAGGATTCAGCAGGGGGATAAAGTCCAACTGGCTAATAATATACTAAATGGTTGTCACATATGGAATTTATCACATTTAGAAAACCCATCTACAGGCCACAGAGCCTATCCTGATGAACTGAGGGCTGATGATGCTGTCTACAGCCAGACAATTTTCTGGCAGGTGGGTTTTCCAAAAACCATTATAGCACCAGCACCCTTCGCTCTGACCTACAGCACTGCTAAATAGTCCCCGAAAATGTGCTGCAAGTCGTTTCAACACAAAGGAAAATCTTCAACTTGCCAACTATTTCACATGTTTATCAAATACTTTATATAATCCATTACCAAAGGAGAAGCGCTCCACTGACTCAGCGCTGAAAAGAAATGGCAAGAAAGTTCATTGACAGTGCGCCAATTTCTATTCAAAATACCATACCATAGCACTATTTTCAAGTTGAGTTTCAGGAATGGGGACAAAGTAATGTCTGCTTTAAAAATTTGGCAGTACTCGAGGGCAGGAAGATGGTGAAGTGACACAGTTAATTATTTTACAGTAACCCACAACTTCTGTTTCTCATCACAATAAAAAATAAAACCCTCTTTGTTTTTTAGCTATTTTTCCAGGACATGGACATTTCAATTTATGTAATGGATATGCTGTGTGTAAATCAACTTTGGGGTGAATGGCACTAAGGGAGCCCCAGGGGAACCCTCTGCTGGCTCGCTCATACACGGAGATAGGAAACTCACGGCATATGGCTCCTGACTTAGTTTTTCTCTGGCAAGTTGGCCTTTCAGAGCCAAGAATATATGTAAATGTATGAGCCTCACGACTCTGCAGGCTTTAAAGCATCTTAGGATCACAATGTGGCTGGCTAATCGTGCGTGGGTCGGTTTAACCTATTTGCAGCTCTGGGGGAAAATAACTTTTATACCACTCATTTGGCTATGCTGTTTCCCAGCCTCTCATCTCAGATTTCTCATCTGCAAAGTTAACCCAAGGCCAGCTGAGGTGGTTTCAGCCTCCAGAATTCCGAGTCTGATCCTACTGTTCACATGCAATATGCTGGCCTTGGACATTGGAGCACCGGCCAGAGAAACATAAATAATGGACTCAATAGGGAAAATTAACTCACATTAGCAATTGTTTATTTTAACATATAACGAGCACATCCCATGTGCCAAGCTCTAAGCTAAACAATCTCACATTTAAAAGCATGAAAAAGAGTCTCAACAGTGTACAGGTTTCTGAGTTGTCTGCAAGAAAAGTGGGCAGAGTATCCATGCTCAACCTCCTCTCGCACTAAGGGGGCTCCTCTAATATCTCCTAGTAAAAATAAAATTCCATATACTTGGCCACTGCTTTCAAGCCTAGATGTCTTATTTGCCTGGAACTTTAACATTCTCTCTTCTAAAGTATAAACTAGATTCTAAGCACAATGCTCCAGGATTATTGGACTTTTATAATACTCTGTAGAGACAAATGTACTGGAATAAAGTGAAAATTAATTTTAGAAGTGAGAAGGGTTAAAAAGGGGGGAATAACTAGGTAGGACAAGCAGCTTCTTTTCAAATCAGTAACAGTGTAAAAAGGCCAAATGATGCTGGGGGGAGTGTTTCTACAACTTTTCAAAAACTGTTTAATTATGGAAAATTTCCCGACTACACAAAAGTAGAGGGAAAAGTTTTAAAAAAAAAAAGTAGAGAAAAAATGTAACTCCATATGCCCATCACCCAGCTTCAACAATTACCAAGATTTTGCCAATCTTGCTTTGTCTATCCCCCCTTATTTGTATTTTAAAGCAAGTACAAGACGGTTCAATTCCATTTCACCTTCTCATTTTAAAAATGTTTTTCACTGCTCCTTTTGCTGCCCCGTGCAGCCAAGATGATGAAAGACAGACAGAAAGTCAGAGAGATTCCCAGCTTTCATAGTAACCCTGCCAAAGAGGCTTTCAACCAGAGTAGACTTTCCAAGAATGGTTTTACACCTTTTTCAATGGCATCTGTTAATAATCATAAAAATACAGAGGGTCCCCTCTGGTACCGCTTAAGTAGAAAGAATTCCATTTACAGTCCAATGCAAACACTGTTACTGTTAATATTCAACTGTGCAGAGGCCGGCACTCAGGGCTGCCTATCAGGAGAGTAGTTTCTTTGAGGACTTAAAGTGCTAAGTTTGATCCCTATCTCTGGAGCCCTTCAAAGAAGCTCTCCTCGGGTGGGTCTGCCTTTCTCAGGGAAACGCCAGGATCTTGGGTTTTGCCCCGTCCGCGGGGGGGCTCCGTCCTTACCTGCGAAGCTTATTCGGCGCTCGCGGCGCTGCCCAGCTCGAATCAAAGGCCCCCGAGGCGGTCAGAGCGCGGACCGGGGCGGCCGGGGGGCTGCCGCGAGCCTCGCGGACCCGCCCGCACCACCAGCGGCTCGTGGCGGAGACTGCGGAGGAGGCCTGCGCCGAGCCGCGCGCGGGCCGGCACTTGGGAGGGGAAAGGGGGCGATGACGCGGGCGGGCGGACGCAGTGGGGGAGGCGAAGGAGGGGCGGAGGTGGGCTAGAGGAGAGGCAGGGAAGGAGGGAGGGGGAAGGAACCCGGACGCCGGGTGGGCCGGAGGAGGGGGGTTCCTCGGACGTGCGGAGCAGACGGGCCACCACCTCGCACCCCAGTATCTTTGTCCCCAGAGTGAAAGAATGAAGCACGAGGAAGAATGCATGGGTCGATTCACAAGAGATGTCCCCGTGATAGTGTGCATCCCTTGCACGCTATCTCAAGAAGAGACTTGAAAGTTGGGGAGGAAGGGTGATGGGAGTGTGTGGGAGTTGTTCTTTGAGTCTCACTACCCCCGGCTCTGCCTAGACCCCAGCCATCTGGAAGAACCAGAGCTGTTTTCCCACCCCCATCCAAGCCGTCTCTGTCGGGGGTCTCGCTTCTTGGGCCGTATCCCCCACAGGGCAGATCCCACTGGTGCGGGTGCCCGGGTGCCCCGTGTGAGGGCTGCGTCTAACCTCAAGTTCCCGCGGGCGCCCCCGCCGGGGCTGGGCGGCGGGGCCCCTGCGAGCATCCTGTGCCGCCGCCAGGGGGAGAGCGTCAGTTTCCGTCCGTCCACAGCCTAGTTGGCTTTTTCTGTTTTCGAAGAGTTTCGGATTCTTGCCCCCCCCTGTCTTACGAGCGTGCTAACCTCGTCCTTGCTCACTCTCCTCTTAGCAGACATACTCCTTTGGAGTGCGGACCACCTGCAGAAGGGAGTCTCACTGATTCAACATCTACTGAACTGCTACTGGGTGGCAGGTCTGGGGCAAGATGCACCTATACCAAGTACAAAAACTGGGTCCTGGCCCTCAAAGTAGGGAGATCAAAGAAGTGCACAAATACTTATAACACAAGGTCTTCGCATATTCCATAGCACTTGGCTCATTAGTGGGTTATTTCATCTCTCAAGTTTCTATGTATTTTTTTAACAAAATGAAATCAGAATATATATATAATTTATGTATAAATTAGAGAATTTAATTCTCTATTTATAGAGAATATAAACAGAATATATATATAACTTAGCATTTTTGTATATGCACTCACCCATATAATTAAAATCCATTAATGCTTTTCATCTGGTATAAAATAATTAGTTCTGAAGCTCTGTCTCACTAATTAGGTCATAATCTTCATAGGCATCTTTGAATCCCCACCTTCTGCCACAGAACCTGGCATATAATAGATGTGGAGTATGTATCCCATTGAAAAAGTTTGCCGGTGAAATTGAGTGTGGGGTAGTCCTAGAGAATGCCCAGAACTCAGAGTGGGAAGTCCCATCTGACACTAAATACCTGTGCCCTGGGCCTCATTTTCTTCAACAATAGATCCAGAAGGTTGAGCTGGGTTGGGGGCGGGGGAGGGGGGGGCGTCCTACAGTCTGCACTTCTCAAACATTAGGAGATTCTAACACTGCATAAATCCAGAAGGATTTAGTGCGAGCCCAGGTCTGACTCCTTTCAATTAGTCATCGCCCCAGGTGAAACTGACTCCATGTGCTCTCATACTTTCAGGGCCCCCTTCCTGAACCTTATACCCTGAGCACTCTTCCCTACCTCCCCCCCAGGTTTACTGAGATATAAGTGACATATAACACTGTGTAAGTTTAAGGCAAACAGTGTGATGATTTTTTACACACACGCCTTGAAAAATGTTTACCACAATAAGGTTAGTTAACCCATTCTTTACCTCACCGCATTGTCATTTTTAAGTTGTTACGGTGAGAACATTAATGCTTTATTCTCATAGCAACTTTCAGAATTACAATATTGTTAACTATAGTCACTGTGCTGTCCACTAGATCCCTGAAATGTAACCATCTTATAACTGAAGGTTTATACCCTTTGACCAGCATCTCCCCATTTCCTCCCCAGCCCTCAGTCTTTGGCAACTACTCCATTCTACTCTGCTTCTGTGAATTCAATGTTTTTAGATTTCAGAGCTCTCAAGTCTATCCACGTTGTCTCAAATGGCAGGATTTCTTTTTTATGGTTGAAAAATATTCCGTTAAATATATAAACATATATAATTTTTTTTATTTTAAGTATATTTATATATAAAACCTTTTCTTTATCCATTCACCTGTCAAAGGACACTTAGGTTGCTTTCATGTCTTGGCTACTATGAATAATGCTGCAATGAATATGAGTGTGCAGATCATCTCTTTGAAATAGTGATTTCATCTTCTTCACATATATACCCAGAGTGGAATTGTTGGATCACAGGGTAGTTCTATTTTTAGTTTTTTGAGGACTTCCGTACTGTTTTCCAGAGTGGCTGCACCATTTTGCATTCCCACCATCAGTGAACCAGGATTCCGTTTTCTCCACGTCCTCGCCTTGTATCTTTTTGATAACAGCCATTCTAATGGGTGTGAGATATTTATTTCATTGTGGTTTTGATTGCATTTCTCTGATGATTAGTGATATTGAGTTCATTTTCATGTATATTGTGTATATCTTCTTTGGAAAAATGTCCATTCAAGTCCTCTACCCATTTTTCAATCAGATTATTTGGGGTTTTTTGGTATTGGATTGTATGAGCTTCTTATATATTTTGGATATTAGCCCCTCATCAGATACATGGCTTGCAAATATTTTCTCCCATTCAATAGGCTGCCTTTTCATTCTATTGATGGTTTCCTTTGCTGTGCAGAAACATTTAGTTGGATGTTGTTCCACTTACTTATTTTTACTTTTATTGTTTGTATTTTGGTGTCAAATCTGAAAAACTATTGCAAAGACCAATGTCAAGTAGCTTTTCCCCTCTCTGTTTTCTTCTAGGATTTTTATGGTTTCAAAGCCTACTTTTAAGTCCTTACCCCATTTTGTGTTAATTTTTGTGTGTGCTGTAAGATAAGGGTCTAACTTCATTCTTTTGCATGTGGATATCCAGTTTTCCTAACACCACTGGTTGAAGAGACTATCCTTTCTTGAGTATTCTTGGTTTCCTTGTCATATACTGGTTGACTCTGTATGTGTGGGTTTCTTTCTGGGCTCTCAATTCTGTTCCATTGATAAATGTGTCTGTTTTTGTGCCAGTACCATACTGTTTTGATTCCCATAGCTTTGTACTATAGTTTGAAATCAGGAAGTGTGATATCTCCAGCCTTGTTCTTTCTCCAGATTGCTTTGGCTATTTGGTTTTTTTGTGGTTTCTTAAGAATTTTAGGATTCTTTTTCTATTTCTGTGAAAAATGGCATTGAAAACATCATAGGGACTACATTGAATCTATAGATGACTTTAGGTACTATGGACATTTTAACAATATTAACTCTTCTGATCTATGAACACAAGATATCTTTCCATTTATTTTTGTCTTCAGTTTCTTTCCTCAATGTTTTATAGTTTTTGGTGTATAGATCTTTAACTTGATTGGTTAAGTTTATACCTAAGTGTTTTATTGTTTTTGTTATTATAAATGGAATTGTTTTTGTTTTCAGATACTTTGTTAGTGTATAGAAATGCAACTGATTTGTGTACACTGATTTTGTTTTGTTTGTTTGTTTCAAGTTTTTATTTAAATTCTAGTTAACATATAAGGTAATATTGGTTTCAAGACTAGAATGCAATGATTCGTCACTTACATATATAACACCCAGTGCTCATCACAAGTGCCCTCCTGAATCCTCAGCACCCATTTAGCTCATCCCCTACCCACCTTTTTCCATCAGCCTTCAGTTTGTTCTCTATTGTACATTGATTTTTGTATCCTGAAACTTTACTAAATTGCTGTATTAGGTCTAATAGTTTTTTTGGTGAAGTCTTTAGGATTTTCTATTTACAAAATTATGTCATTAGTACACAGAGACCATTTTACTTCTTCCTTTCTGATTCAGGTGCCTTTCATAATTTTTTCTTGCCTAATTCCTCAGGCTAAAATGACCAGTAATATGATGAATAGTGTGGTGAGGGTAGGCACCCTTGTCTCATTTCTGATCTTAGAGGGAAAGTTTTCAACCTTTTACCATTGAGTATGATGTCAGCTGTAGGCTGGTCATATATGACCTTTTATTATATTGAGGCATATTCATTCTATACCCAATTTTTTTAGAGTTTTTTTCATGAAAGAATGTTGAATTTTGGTAAATGCTTTTTCTGCATCTACTGAAAAGACCATTCGATTTTTGTCTTTTATTCTATTAATGTGGTATATCACTCATTTATTGATATGCATATATTGAACCATCCTTGCCTTCCCAGGACAAATCCCACTTGAACATGATGTATAATCCTTTTAATGTGATGTTGAGGGGTGCTCAGTTCAATGGGTGTCCCACTCTTGATTTCAGCTCAGGTCATGATCTTGAGGTCGTGAGATCAAGCCCCGCATCAGGCTCTGTGCTCAGCAAGGAGTCTGCTTGGGATTCTCTCTCTCCCTCTCCCTCTAGCCCTCCCCCTCCTCTTTCTCTAAAATGAATGAATAACATCTTTTTAAAAAATAATGTGATGTTGGGGCGCCTGGGTGGCTCAGTTGGTTAAGCGACTGCCTTCGGCTCAGGTCATGATCCTGGAGTCCCGGGATCGAGTCCCACATCGGGCTCCCTGCTCAGCAGGGAGTCTGCTTCTCCCTCTGACCCTCCTCCCTCTTGTGCTCTCTCTCATTCTCTCTCTCACAAATAAATAAAAAATAAATAAAAATAAATAAAAAATAAATAAATTTAAATTTCTTTAAAAAAAATAATAATAATGTGATGTTGAATTCAGTTTGCTAGTATTTTCTTGAGAAGTTTTGCATGTATATTCATTAGAGATCTTCACCTGTAGTTTTCTTGTAGTATCCTTGTCTGGTTTTGGTATGGGGTAATGCTAGCCTTGGAAAATGAATTTGAGAGTGTTCCCCCTCTTCAATTTTTTTGAAAAGTTTGAGAAGAATTGGCATTAATTCTTCTTTATGTGTTTGGTAAAATTCACCCATGAAGCCATCTGGTCCTAGGCTTTTTTTGTTGGGAAGATTTTAATTACTGCTTCAATCTCCTTACTTGTTATTGGTTTGTTCAGATTTCCTATTTCTTCATGATTCAGACTTGGTAGGTTGTATTTTCTAGGAATTTATTCATTTCTTCTAGGTTGTCCAGTTTGTTGGCATAGTCTCTTATGATCTTTTGTATTTCTGTTGTATCAGTTGTAATATCTACTTTTTCATTTCTGATTTTGAGTTCTCTCTCTCTCGCTCTCTCAATAAGTCTAGCTAAAGGTTTGTGAATTTTATTTACCAACTAAGAAAACCAACTCTAAATTTTGT